ACAATGAGACAAGGTGAGTGACGCACTGAAGTAGCGCGGCATTTATTTTCCGGTACCATCTCCGGCTTTGCATTGTCAAAGAAAGTCGCGCCAAGACGTTTTCTAACACGTATTCGCAATGACGCAACATCACACAAAGCAGAAATTGTAACTATATATGAGTACTTATATATTAAGTTACAACATTAGTGCTTCATTCCGTTACGTGACGGTCCTTAAAAAAACGTCGTATAACTTGTGACGTCGCTGATAGACATTTATACAAGCAACACACAAAGGAAGGATCATATGCTAATATAGTATTATATTATTTATTATTTATTAATGTTTCTGTCAGTATTTTTACACTGACTGGGGTTCCGATTTATCTGAAGTTCAAAGCACTCATGTAGTACTGAACTCATGCTTCTTTCAGGAATCGAAATCGGAATATTACTGAAGATTGACTGGATTGATCGCCCGACTTTACCCAGGATGCAAATCACACCATGCCAGTTCTGTGGTATATGGTCGTGTAATAATTTTCAATATCGCCGTGGTATATATGATGATATCAGTAATCTGATTGATCATTCATGGGATTCAAATGTCTGGCATCCTCGACAAACAATCACCAACAGGCATAACAAATACACTAGTTTGTTTTGATGAACAATTTCTTTTATAGTATAATTATAACATATCTGAATATTTCGAGTTATTTTAGATATCTGATAAATCGCGTTTTAGTTATAACGTCATAAAGACCACGTAAATTCCTACTCAACATTCTGCAAGATGAATGTACACAAATCGCGCAAGCGTCACCCAACTATTTGATATGTTGTAAATGCTTGTATGAAATCCACCTCACAATGCAGAAACATATTCAACAGTCGCAAGCGAGTTAACATTGGCAGAACGCTGAAAAGTCATGGATATGCGCACACATCATGATTTGGAACTTCTGTTGTAGATTGAAAATGACTTAATATCTGAGATAGGCAGGATTAGTGACTTTACAAATTTAGTAAACTCCTGTAGTAATGTCACATTCTGATGAGATAAACATGCCAGTGTCGTTATATTTCAGTTCTTTACCATAGCTATAGAAATGCAAATGTTGATCAAACATACTATGACAAATTTCAAATAAGATACACTATACGAAATCTCTCAACAATACTCTCTACAGCGAAATTACATGCCTGGGACACGTATGTGAAAAGCAGTGATGGGTGAAATCAAACGACAAAACATAGACACCGGAGAAGTCAACCAGCAAATAACAGTGTAAAGAAAAGGGGCACTTCACATATATTGGAACATATAACGAGAAAGTAGTCTTTATTGGAAATTCGCACATGATATTACTGTGGTCGTATCTGCCGCTGATGCGCTATCCACTGTCTCATTAGAAAGAAATCAACGTTTTGTAGAAGACTGAAAGTCGCTCACACTTTCGCCGTGATAGCTGTGAGTAGACATATTCTAATCAATACACGGTATATCAAACCCGTATACTGACACGAAACACCAAATTGGTGACAGCGTAATATACGCGTCAGTAAATTGCACACCTAAAAAATATACAACTGGGATGAAAGTGTGACTTCCACGAGCCGAGAGTCTGAGAAATAATTTGCAGTAAGACAAATCATCGACCTGCCTTTCACTTACGGTTCAGTTCACAAACTGTTATTAGTAGTAATAACTATTTTAATCCAACACGATATAGTGCTGCAATCTCTGGGGAAACTTGCAGGAATGTGGAGTTGACGACTGTGTCTTGCGTAGTTGGCACTATTGCGGTGACGATATTCATAATAAATGACATTTAATTATATCAGTCCCTGTTCGACATGTACCTATGTCAATGCATATATTTCCTGGAAGCATTGATATATTAAGAAAACACATACATCTTGTAATGTCTTTTGCTTAAAGAGCCATGAAATGGATAATCGCGTGCACAATGCTTTGTGTTTCTACAGGTTGTACAGCCGCGTATCGCTGCAGACATATTCGCAGTGGTTTTGCAACCGTGGTAATACATTGTCTGTATAGCAATGTACAAAATAACGCTTCTGGGAATTGCCATTATTGGTATTTTATAAAGTTTCACACTTTTAACATGAAAATTATTATACCCCAGACACAATCCGACAGGTTATTTGTCAGTTATTTTGTGAAATAGATGTAAAAATTTCAGCCACATAGCGCATTTTTACGGCATGTTGAAGAAGTGAATTCCTTTCTTTGACATTCTTGTTGACACTGCCACAAACAATATTAACAAACATGTCCATATGTATTTTCATAAATCTTAGCTACCAGAATATAAACCCGTTAATATGTTTACGTGTACAATAACTGCCGGAAGATGACTTACTAAACAACTAAGTAATCTCCCGTACGCCACTTCTTGATCCGACGATTCGTGTATGCAGATTTATTGTGTTTTGTGTTTAATGGATTGCAAGTAAACGCAATAAGTAATTACATTAACAACATATTATAATTTTACATTCCATGAGACACAAGACATTACTTGTGCTCTTATTGACCGCCAGTATTACACCGTATATGTTTAGCAACATAATGTATTATGCTTTCTTTATACTAGTCAATTACAAAGTGTTCATGAGCAAATATACAATTTGACACAATCTAGTTATGAGTTTACGTTCTCACACGCGTGTCAGTAAGTAATATTAATAAATTTGTGAAAACGTTGCTTTAAAAATTACCACTCTGTTACAATCAATGGATGCTAGTGTAATTGACCGAATTATTTGCCCAGAAGCAGTCTTCGATGACAGGAAGATGAATAATTGCTTTCGATTTTGGAGAATATTTCGGAGACCTATGCAAATGATAAATAGCTCTGCAGTTCGGAAGTTACTAAATCTAATCAACTGAGTAGATTTACGCGTCGGAGTTGGTTGGCCACAACCAGGGACATCGTCGCGAGTTACGTCAACCGATTTACCTTACACGATAAGACGATATGACATGATGGAAAATGAAGATATTAATTGATATGACGATATGACGATATTACATGACACGATATGACGATATTACACAATACGACATGACACGATATGGTAATATTACAAGATATGACGATATTACACGACATGACATGATACAAAAAGACGATATTACACAATATGATATGATACAATATGGCAATATTACACGAAATGACGATATTACACAATATGACATGACAAGATATGGTAATATTACACGATATGACGGTATTACACAATATGACATGACACGATATGGTAATATTACAAGATATGACGATATTACACGACATGACATGACACAAAATGACGATATTACAGGATATGACATACCACGATAATGATGATATGACGTGTCAATATGACGATCTTACACGATGTGGCATACATGGCACGATATGATTATTTTACGAGATGTGATATTACACGACGATACCTTACACGATATGAAGGTATTACATGATGTCACATGCGCGTAATAATCAGATAGACTACGTCATCATAATTTAGTTGGAATTTAGTTGAAAGGAATAATTTATTTATTGTAACGTGACTAGTGCGCGCACATCAACTTCTCGTCGCGTTGGCATTTTTAATATCGCAACATCACACACAGGTATTGAACTTCCTTCCGTGTTTTTCTCACATCGTGCAGTAGCTATATGCCTGCCATAAAACAGTCATTTTCCATCACATTAAATACATGATTAAGTAGTTCGCAAAAAGATTTGAAAAAAACGTTAATATAAGACATAAAATCGATCATTATACTTGTTGTTAGAGATGACACAATCAAACATCAATCGGGCACCATGCAAATGAAAAAAATACACTGCGAATGACTATCAGTTCCGTGACACTATACGATGTGTCTATAAAATAAGCAGCGTGATATTAAGAAACTAAACAATATATTGATGGATGTCATTCTGTATATATAAATGAGTGATTATGAGTTTCGATTATTTTGTTTGTGAATGTCGGTGTTTATGTTCAGAGTAGAAGATATCAGGCCAATTTCCATTCAATGATATCTCTCTTATTGTAATTGAATACATTGTTGAAATGGATTCACTGATTACATGATATATGGTTGTAATTTTCCACATAAAAACAAAAATATTTCTTTGTTTTATGTCGAATGCCGTATCCGTAAATGAGTTTTGATTTTTTGTAATCGTATACTGAGTTTATTATCTATACATTTGTATTTGTCATTAATGGTAATGATACAACCAGTATAGTTAATATACAGAGTGATCCTACAGTATTAGATTGTAGTAATTGAATGTATAATAGAGTGTAGTAATTGGAAACACATGAGAGTTCGGAGTTCAATACATCTGATATTGCAGGGTCTCATTCGCCTTGTCAGCATTTTGAACCTCTAAAAATTCCCCACTACACGGTTGTTCGATTAGTTGATCGATTGATTATATTCATTCATTCATTCATTCATTCATTCATTCATTCATTCATTCATTCATTCATTCATTCATTCATTCATTCATTCATTGTTGGTATATTGATTGATGTTATATAGACGAGTCATTTATTCGTTCTTTCGTTCGTTTTTTCGTTCGTTAGTTCATTCATTCATTCATTCATTCAATCGGTTATTATAAAAATGATTTATGGTTGCAAAGGGAATACACTTCGTTATGAATTATATAAATTTCTGTTTTTTCGCTCCCAAAAAACAAACGAAAGAATTTCACAATGTCAAAAATGTAAGGTCTTATTGTAGTGTTACTGAACAAATTTTGTGATCGATCATAATTTATTGTTATCTATTATCGAAGTGATATCATACTAAGGACAGTTATGCTTAGTCGATTGATACAAACAAAACAGGCAAACATACGTTCATTCAATTGCCCCTCCACACTTCGTCTCAAGAACCGATATTGCCTGCCGTGCAAGTTATTCCCGGTAGTCAGCCTGTTAATTGCCAATTTGTGAATATGAAATAACTTTACTAACCTGATTTAAAACCAGAATCAGAAAGACAGCGGAGATCCACAGCATGTTGTTCTCAGGTGGTACGTGGCAGTAAATTCAATCAATGGTATTAGTGTGAACCTGCAGAGTAATGACGATTATGTTATTTTTTTCTGTGTGCGTGTATACTACTACACCAATACACCACCTGCAAAAAAACCATTCCAACCAAAATCAACCATGTGCTTAGAACGCACGATTTCAATAAAGTCTACTTACTTACACTTAGCCAGGACAATGCATGGCGCTAGGGTTTAACGGTTTGGGATTCTGGGTAACGTTGTTTAACATTAAAAAAGAAGGAAATTTAAGTAATATTCTTACGCCTAAATCCCGATCATATTCCCATCTGTAAAGAACGAATCGGACTGAACGAAATTTGAAAAAAAAAGATAGCAGCTGCTGCCTATCATTCATAGGATTATCTCCCTGTCGCGTAATCCCTGATCGTTTTAAACCAGTCGATACATTTCACAACGTATTTACATACAACAGAAAGAAAATATTATATCGTAAATTCATACGTTGATACAAACAACCTGGTGTATTACAAGAGCTGACATGTATTCTAGAGCGTCAACTAATTTTTCATGAAGGCTAACATAAAGTGTGAATATACAGTCTCTGAGCTGGTTGACAGAAAAAATAGACGCAGCTCCAACTGTCACTGAAGCCAAACGTATTTGTAAACGTCGATGAAATTTAAACAAAAGGTTTTGATCATTTGGGAGTACGCACGTGAGTATTGATATTTGACAGCTTACCTGTGCGTCTAGCCAGCTTCAAGGAAAACTGATCAAACCACTTGCGTTTTGCATTCCAACTATATGTTCTGCGACGGGTATAGAATAAATCTGCGTGAAGTTGTTAGCCGCCGTACAATTAAGGCAGATGTAGATCGCCGCCAGCGTGTAACGGTGTCATATAATGAACCCGGCAAAGGAATATTGCCACGCTCTACGAGACTCGCATGGGGGAAATGAGGTACAGCAACTATAATACAAAACCTATAACACGCTCTTCCCATATATTTTTATAATGCTAAATTTAAAAAGAAGATCGACTTTTGGGCGAGACCATTATATAGCAGGTAAAGCCGCGTACAATACTGGGCGAATACATTACACGCAAAGGGTGGATGCGCTCCACAACGACGAGGAGTCCTAACATGTGTCTACTTAGATATGCTATTACACTTATCGTTGAAGATTGCGGATTTTAACTTAAACGGCTAGCTAAAGGGAGTGTTTCGCTTTTCCGAATAGACGACAGACAGTTGTATGCATAGAGGAAATTGAGACAAAGCGATATGTAAAGAACAGTATTCAACACGGAATATTTCATGTAAAAACACGCAAAATCAACATTAAGCCCTAAACTAAATACTACAAAAGCACTGGAAATTTACATTACCGATGAATGAATAATCTGTGTGTGTTACAGATAGATTTTTCTCTAAAATATCCATAACAATTTAACAAATATACTAATTTACAAGTTAATAATACACGAAAATCCCAAAACAATTCAATTCATACCAAGTACCATATGGTACAGCCAATATTCGCGCTTCGTATAGCGATTCGGTCATGGACGTGGTTCGATGCCAAATACACGCTGCAAAATACGTGCTCAGCTTTAAAAAAAAATCGATATACATACCATTTCTGGTTCTATATACTGTTCTTTGTGTGTGTGTAATCTATGCAGAGTATTGCGTGACCATCAGATGTTGTTCGAAGCTGAATTCCAAAAGCAAAATATACAAAAAACAAATGCAGCTACACAAATAATAGCAATAGGTTCTAAGTATATTACTATGACGATCGCCCCATCGGGCGTTGTTCAAGATTGTAGCTTGAGTCGAATCAACGACGTACCTTGGCGCCGTGCTTAGTTGTATTGCTATTTCAACGACGTGAATGTTTAGCAATAGTCGTTCGTAATTTTCGAATTAGTCGCTCATTACATGTGCTCTTGTACTTCCACGTGTGATTAATTGATTTATAGCCGGTTGAATGATAGAATGATTCCCCTTTTGAAATGTCAGTGCCAATGATAAATTATTTTTAAGAATTATATCGTATTATTCAGGAATACACGCAAAGATATCCCGCGGATGGTTTTACGTATTACACAAGTGTCAGTCTGCACCTTGCCTCGAACAACGATACGGGGTATTTTGTGAAAAGCTGCAGTTATAATCATTTCCATGTATCGTCACATTTTCAAAACACCATTCACTGTGCAATTTGTTAAGTACTTGCAGCATGTCAAGCCATCCATTTTTTTCAATAAAATTCAGACTCGTTATGGCCCAGTCGTGAAATTCATGAAAGTGTCTGTTTTCATAATTCGCCATCACTTCGACATTCACTTAATGGTCCACTTTAATATGTTGTTATTGCTAGTATACGTTAACGCCGCTGCGTTTTGAAGTGGCAATGTTGTCCAGTAGCATCGTTAGTTTATTTGCCTTTAACTTGTACGATTCGCAATGGTGAAACTAAGGAAAGGGATGCACATGTAGGCAACAAGGCTGAGTGTTTGGGGAAGACGGTTGGAGTGTTGTCATACTTAAATATGTAGGGGTCGTATTCTCCTGTCGTCTGTAGTAATTCTATACTACTAAAACAGTGCTCCAACAAGCCAGAAAATGGTATATATGTATTTTCACGAGAATGTCTAAACTTGGTCATCTCTCTATTTGGCCTTTTTCACATAAATGTTCTTGCCGATTCTAACGTGTAGTTCTAAAGTTTAGAGCTATCAATGGCACCTGTCTTTATAGCGTATCAATCTGTTAGACGTCAGAAATGTATTTAGGGTTTTCTACAAACAAAATTGATCAACATTAATTAATATGCCATCTCACCGTTAGCTCAATGCTTTATAACATTGAACTTTTATCTGTACGTTTAAAACACACATGGGCATATGAAATCAAACAAATATTGTATTTATGTAAATTATAAGATGCATGAAATGTACAACAAGTACGTATAATATCAGTATGTCCATGACGTTGTTCACCTGTAGATTTAATTTTTTTCAGTATTCTAAATGGTATAGTGAAATCTCATTTCGTGATAAAATCAACTACATATATAAGTTTTTAAACGTAGAACATGGCTTCACTCTCGCTGCTTTTGTCTACCACATCACTTGCAACGTGTTAATGTTTGTCGTCGTATAGAGGTTACGCACCACGGGAGAGTTTTCCGAAGTGGGGAATTGCGAGAATTACCACAACTAATACATATTTTAACTTCCGTGGATGATGTTTTTTAATTTTCAGACCATCCTTTCATTTGATAACGGTTATAATGCTTTCCTGCTTAACCTCGACGAGGTGTATGAAACAACGTTTAAACCATGAAATGATAACTATGTTACGTCAACGTGTTTGACTAAGCAGCATGGGCGAGCGATGTTATATGGTTTTTTTGTGTTTATATTGCAATCCATCAATGGATTTGCGGGAGATTGAATGCAAGATGTGTCCGGAATTAACATCATATGGCCCAAGGCAAATTGAACATAAGCAAAAGTCTAGTCACCAATGAAACTTATCTGTAGTGCCGACAACACCCATTTGATGCGAACAATATTTGACACTGATCCGACGTTTCGATTATTGTTCCCTGTGATGGTTTATCTATCCATTTAAAGATTGCTTTCATTCACGGCATATGGATGATGGTTGGTGAATACCGCTTGATGTGAACGTTTGAAATATTGCATCAGAATCGATGACGTTTTTATACAAATGCACAATAGGGAGTATTGCGATGAAACATAAATTGCTTAACACAACGGCGTCCACACACGCAAATACGTACGTGTTTCAATTGCAAGGTTCAAATTAAATCGCACAGTCATATTGTTTCTATACATTCTGCACGGGTAGATGACAACAACATATGACTACTCAAAAGTATAAATATTTGTCATCGCACCGGCGAAGAAATGGGAATAATCAAATTGAAATTGTTTACACACGATGGCATATGACCCTGTGCATGCCGGGATATTATGGCATTCTGTGTATATACTCATTTTATAGCCTTTTACCAGTGTAAACTATAACCGTGTTTGTATTTGAGGTGATACGTTAACATGGCTGTGTTTGGATAATTGAAATGTGCGAATCTCCTTCCAGTCTGCGAAATGAGTGCTTCACATGATTCACCGGGGGAAAATTTGATGACTGGAAGCATGTTTGTGCGTGCGTGTGTGTGTCTGCAACACGACGTGTGGTAGAAGCAATTATATTATCATGTTTGACCACTATATCTCTCAATTTATTTGAAGGTTGTGGAACATTAATTATCTTTCTTAAATAAAACACGTTACGGACGACGACAATTACATGATAAAATGGTATATTTTCTGGATTATTCGATCTCTTCAATTAAGGTTTGGGATTGCAATCAAACTCGGGGAAACATGTTTACAATGGGTGGCCCTCGGGGCATCACGTAAAAATGTGTACGCATGCTTCAATATGAAACCCCAGTAGAATAAATTTATATTCACACTGTTCAACGCCTATACTCATGTAATAAGTTGTATATTTTCTAGAAAAAAACATTCCAGTGAATATAGTTACATTTTTGTAGAACTTGGAGCTACATAAAAAGTGGGACAGCATTTTACTTTGACATATAATATAATCAGAAAACACATTTGATTTTGAATGAAATTTTAACGACACTAAATACGTGTTTAGAGGTGTTTTTACAAAACTATATTTAACAGTTTGGGTATCAATTTGTTGTGCGAGAATTCTTCGATCGGGAATGTGGAATTGACTCTAAAACGTCCTCTGTCCTTAAATATTCCCAAATAATTCAGCAGATGAGACTGGTTCTGTGTAGTAGTGACAACATTCACTTTTTGTAACGTTTTTTTTTTTTTATTCGGTAAGGGTGTTTGGTAATGGCATTAAAACGTTGAATACTATTAGAATTTTATATCACTTTTTGATAGTGACAGTTGTTGCAAGTGACGATAGAACTATTTCTTTCATTCGAGCATTGCTGGATAAGAGGGTGAAAAAAAAAACTTGGATATATTGCGAATGTAACCTACCGTTGATTAATCTCGATGAGGTCTTACTGGAACACTTCCGTAATATTTCCGAAAAAATCTGATGATCGATTTTTGACGCCAGTACTGCCAAACTCAAAATCGCGGACACAAGGTTCAAGCTGAGACAATACGAATCATAGAGACCACGTGACGTGTTGTTTAATGGGTTGTACGCGAGAATGGTGAGCGTGACCGAACAAAAATGCGTGAAACTTTTTACACTCATTGATATTCGACCAACGAAAATTGCGGAATGAATGCCGAGCCATGTTCAGTTTCCACAGAGAGTTTGAGTCAGTTTGTTTTGAACTATTAGAACAATTGACAATTCATTCGATTTAAAAATACATCACTGAGTTATGATTTATTGATTCGAACCTTACGTCGCATATCACTCAAATAAAACTAATTATTTCTTACTATTAGCCTCTCATAAGCAATGCCACGAATACCTCAAAGTGGACTTATTACAGATTTTATCGCAGAAATGTAGTTGTTACTATGGCAATCAACTCATCATACATACGCACATATGGTATACTAACTATTGATGAAACAAGTAAGTTTGATCAAAACGACTGAAAGTACAGTGATGTACAAATCATTTTCAAAATTTACGCATTTACATTTGCGAAATCACCCATTTTCACCTCAAAAGCACAGAAAATATGTCAAGCTGATAGACGAGTAAACCTTCTGTATATTCAAACATACATATAGCAGTGACAAATAACATGCATGTAGTTGTATTTTCATATCTCTGTAGCCTAAGTACCAAACACAATCCAGAGACTTTCAAGGAGCAATACCTTGATTAAAACTCAACATTTGTCAACATCACTCATGAGATAATAACAAACTCGGACATTCATCATTA